GGAGGTCCACAGAGTCAAAGGCAGCTTTCAGATCAAGAAATACAACCATTGCTGGTTGCTGGAAGCAGTGTCGCTGTTCCAGAATCTGTCGGAGGGTAAAGATATAATCGATGCAACCTCTTGCAGGACGGAACCCAGCTTGGTTTTCACGGTGTTCAGTCAACCTTCGAAGGATAAGGCCAGAGAGCACCTTCGATGCCACAGCTAACAGGCTGATGCCGCGGTGGTTTACACACAGCGTTCGCGTATCTCTTTTGAAGATAAGCCGTGCCGTCAACATGCTCCATTCTGCAGGCACTTTCTCTTCTTTTCATATCGCACCAATAAGCTGAGTTAAATGGGTCAGCAGGGATTCTTCGCCTTATTTGGAGAAGGCGGGATGCAGTTCATCCGGCCCTGGTGCCTTTTCACGTTTCCCAAGTGAAGAAGTTAAAGAAGCCTATCTGAGGTCACTTTGGCCGTGTTTGTTCTTTGATTTGTATAGCAACTTCACAAACGCTGACTTCCATTCCAGGAGCAACCGGTCTTCATCTAATAAGTACCTTGAGAAGTGACAAAATGAATTGGCTACCGTTGCTGTTCGCAAAATGTGCCTCACGTCACTAGGCTAAAGAACTACATATTCGAATAGAGGAGCTAGCGAAGGTTGTTTCCTTCACCACAAATCATGGGTGTGTACCGACTACCTACCGATGGCGTCAGTACAAGACCAAGACTGTTACAAACTTTATCAGAAATTACTCCCGTAAGAGATTAAATATTCTGTATTAGAATGTGGTCAGTGTCCACGAAAATCAAAGTTAGTTTCTGATCTTGAGACATAGAGATTGGAGACAGCTTTTTACTGGAGGTGTCCTATAAAGAATCACATCACCTGATGAGCTAGAGCGCTTGTAGATGAGTGCAATAAACGACGAATCCCCTGTTTTATTCGATACCACACACATTCCTATTCCTGTGGACTGCTAAACGATGTCTGTAAAACGAATCCAAGTTGAGAATGGCTGCAAAATAGCACTCCTCATCCCGTCCACGGCATCTCGATTGCTCCTGTCTATGCTTGGGCAACCTGACAGTATCCAGCCCTCGTTGTTTTATTCGATACCACACACATTCCTATTCCTGTGGACTGCTAAACGATGTCTGTAAAACGAATCCAAGTTGAGAATGGCTGCAAAATAGCACTCCTCATCCCGTCCACGGCATCTCGATTGCTCCTGTCTACGCTTGGGCAACCTGACAGTATCACAGCCCTCGTGTCTCCTCCGGATGGCAGAGCAGCTGCTCACCGAAACTGTTGCAGCCGGACGATCGTTATGTATGTCTTCTCCGCCTCCAAAATTGCCATTCGTCTTGTAACAACATATACCTAGGCAATGATAGTTCACTGTCATTTAGAGGGTGAGTGAGCCAGGTTTGGGCGAGACCAATAAAATCGGAAATTACAGATTCAACTATTTTGACATACTGCCAGGAGTCTAGACACGATCAGTCTAGATACCCGAGTTGGGCTTAGACCACGGACCTTGAGGTCAGTAATCTCGTGCTTTAATCGCTTAACCATTTGGAACAAGGCAAACCTTCGAGCCACAGATAGCAGATGAGGTACAGACCGGGACGAGGTCTTTCTGCCAGCAACATATAAAACTCAAAGTTCACATTGCAACATTTTACAAGAGCCCAATGATCGCGGAACTGACGTCGCGGGATTCCCGAAATGGCAACTTTTCTTGGCTATCTTGTGCAGAGACAACACCGTCTGGTGAGGTGGCGGGAATAGCGACACCAACTTAGTCTGTTGTATGCATGGGTCGTCCCTTGGTGGTCTATTAGGCTGTACACAATATGAAAGCACTGCTTCTAGCTTGTCGGGGCGCTAAAGTTATGCTAAGTTTGTTTACAGTTGTTCCACTCCTTGTGAGAGGGAAACCTACAAATATCGTCTTCCGTCATAGCGTCATTGACAAAACGATAAAATATTTCGTGGGTCGTTAAACTACTCTTTTTCTTTACAAATTATTGCCTAGTATATGAAGGCAGTCAAGCTGTGGTGTGCGTGCAGGGTAAAGTGTGACGCCTATAAGCCCGACGGTGGGATTTCAGTGGCACTTAGCGTCGGGCGAATCCAATAGGTTATTTTGCGGAAAGTTTTATGGGTCCACTGATTGCGCATAGCTACGCCGGTGGCCTTGACGGAGCAACGTTTGAGGTCTTGTTGTTGTTTATTCCGACGCGTTAATGAGTGTTTAGCAAATGTTTAGATAATTTGAAAAGTGTCAGCCGAATGTGTTCATGGACAGCGGTGTTCGATACATTTACATTTCACAGAATGCCTAAGGTCGCTCAACGAGCGATCAGCAGGCTAGAGGGGAACTCGCCTATGAAGCAGCAGGAACTTCAGGTTTGTTTACCAAATCACCCAAACTAGCGGGCTCCAAATGGGTCTCCCCATCCAACACAAAAAAGTAATGGGGCTTCTCAGAGCCGCGTTCGAACAGTGTGGTATTACTATAATTTTGAATTTAGTGCTCAGAATCTGGTTACGGATTTTAGATCACAAGAAAACCGACCGTCCCCGATTTTGTTACAGGCAGACAATTGGAACTGCGCACCAAGGTCAGCCAGCTAGGTTAGGTCACCGAATCACGGATTCGCAGATCCGCCAATTGATACACAGGATCGAGGCTTTTGCCCAAGTTTCCCGGG